GCCGCTGCCGCCCGCCCTCACCCTCACTGCAGCGGGGCCACGGGTGCGCCTGAGCAGTGGAAGTGCACGTTCTGCCACTTTCCTTCCCGGCGGTGCCACACGCGGGTCTCCTCGGACTGGCTGGTGCGGGGCCGGCCCTGGCCGTCGATGTACTGCGTGAGGCGGATGTAGGCGATGCAGGCGGCGTCCTCGCCTATGACGTGCACGTGCGGGTTCAGGATGGTCGTGTGGATCGGCTTGCTGTTCTTGGCGAGCACTGTGAGGTGAGCGGAGCTGGTTTGGGCACCCCCTGTCCCCCTCCGCAACGGGAAGGGGCCTGGCACTCCAAGAACCCAAGCCCCGAGTTCCCAGCGGCAGGGCCTGGGGCGCACTCCCCACCCGCCAGCCCCGAGCCCCCCACTCACAGTTCTCAAAGTAGAATCTGTGGAAGTCCATCCCTTCCACCAGGTTGCCCAGCGCTTCCGGCTCAAAGGAGGTCAGGCCGGGGTCACAGATTTTCCTGGGAGTTGGGGGGAGCACAAGTGAGGAAGGCATCTGGACCCTCACTGGGGCAGGCTCCTCCCACCTCCTGTCCATCCCCTCGCCCCACAGAGTAAGGGCCGAGGGGAGCACCCACCCCGCACCCCCTTGCGTGCCCTGTAGAACTCACGCATAAGCCTCAAAGTCACCGTTGTTGACTGCCTCGATGAGCTGTTCGGTGATTTTGATGATCTCCTGCTTGCGGGCTGGGGGTGGGGTAGGGGGGAGGACACATGCCACCAGTGAGTCGGACAGCCCAGGGCCACCCTGCACCCTCACACTGCCCCCTCGTTTCCCAAAGGGACGCTGCTGGCTTAGCCCCTCAGGCCTAGAGGCCTGTGTACTGTTCAGCCCAGACTTATCAATGTCACCAGTGGTATACTTGCCTTCCCAATGAAAGAACTTCTTTTGAAAAACAATAAAGTCCTTTAAAAATGATAGAAACACGTCATCCATATTACCAAATGTCTGGAAAAGCAGTAAGCAGGAAAATAACCTTCTAAGACAGCCCCTAGCATCCCCGGCCACACTTCCCTCCTGCCTCTCCCTTCAGTGTGCAGCCCACAGGCTTCCAGGTCCCTCCCCCCACCTGTTCTTTGTACTGTCACTCAGCAGCTGTTTCTGAACAGCTGCCTGTGTGACAGGCTCAGACTAGAAACTGGGTCCGCAGCAGGATGACAAAGATCCCATCCTCCGGATGGGCCCCAGTAGAGCAGCAGGGTGCCACTGGCTGAGGTGGTGGATACAAGAGACGAAGGCCAGAGAGGGGTCTCAGCAAGGGGAGCAGGAGGTCCTGAGGAGAGGCCTCTGATAGAGGCCCCAGGAATACAGAGGCCCTGGGCAGCTCATGGTGTGGACCCTATAGCAAAGCAGTTCTAAACCTGTGGGTTGCGACCCCTTTGGGGGGTGTCAAATGACCCTTTCATGGGGGTCACCCAATTCATAACAGTAGCAAAATTACAACGAAATAATTTTATGGTTGGGGGATCACCACAACATGAGGAACTGTATGAAAGGGTCGTGGCATTAGGAAGGTTGCGCACCACTGCTATGGCCTCTCCACCCTGGTCTCCCATCTTTTCTCCTGCCAAGACCATGCAACCCTGCCACTGCAGTTCAGACAACGGTACTAACAGATTTCAATTTTAAAGTAAAATTAGAATTATTTTTAATTGTAAAAATACTTTAAACATCAGAATAAAGTGCTCAGTGTACCTACACCCTGTGGATTCAAATCAGCATTTTTCATATTTGCTGTAGACATATTGTAAAGACATATTTTGGATGTAGTTGACAATCCTTCCCTGTCAACCCCCTTCAATCTTGGCCTTGGTTTGCTCTCCCTAGAAAAAAATAGTCTATTGAGTCAGGTTTGTAACCATTTCCTTACAGACACACATGCATGCACACAGTCATATGTCCACACACCTCACATACAGGTACATGGTTTTTAAAAGCAAAATATGTGCACATGATAAAAATTCAGAGGTCAACAAATGAACTGGAAAGCTGTGTTCTCCATGCCCGTTTCCTCTGGGATCATAGGGTTCCTGAGCATTAGCCTACACGCCACTCCCTTAGCCGCAGAGGGCCTCGACCAACAGCACTCTACAGAGCCATGCTCCCGAAAAAGCTGCCCTGGCATCCCTGTGGCCCTCAGCAGATGGATTACATAGGAATCAAGTGGAGAACATCTGTGAGAAGAAAAGATAGAGAGGCGCTCATTTCTTCAGCCAAAATGAGGCTGGGGTCCAACTTGGAACAGACCATCAATTGCTAATATATAAGTTCAAGGTCAAGCTAAAGAAAATTAAAACAAGTCATGCGAGCCAAAATATAACCATGAGTCTATCCCGCGTGAAGTTAGAGAACGCCTCAGGGACAAATTCCATGCATTGAAAATGAACGACTGAAGACGTGGCAAGCTGTAGGAGGACCTCAAGGACATCAGACATTCAAAAAGCAAACGGTCACCGCAAAGGGAAGAGAGAGAAAAGACCAAAGTGGGTGCGGAAGAGGCTCTCAGATTTGCCCTTGAACATAGAATGAAAGGAAGAGTGATATGCAGATGACCCGACCTTGCTTGCTGAACGCCAAGAGGATTTGAAGCACTTGCCGATAAAAATCAAAGACTACAGCCTTCAATGTGGAGCGCAACTCAACATGAAACAAAAACCTGCACAACTGAACCAACAGACCGCACCAATATAGACAGAGGGAAAACAAGTTGTCAAGGATCTCATTTTACTTGGCTCCCAAATCAATGCTCCTGAGAGCAGCAGTCACGAAATCCAACCATGTGCTGCACTGGGCAAATCTGCTTCACCAGGCCTCGTAAAAATGTTGAAGAACTAAGAGGTCGCTTCGAGGACTAGGGTGGCCCTGTCTCAAGCCGGGGATCTTCAGGTGTCTCATATCGCATGTGGGAGTTGGCAATGACTAAGGAGGACCGAAGGAGAACCAGTGCCTTTGAAGGATGGTGCTGGTGAACAATATGGAGGGTACCATGGACTGTCAGAAGAACAAATCCGTCTTGGAAGAAATAACAGCTAGAAGCTCCTGAGCGTGTCTGGAAAAGGACCCGATCCTTGGTAAAGCAGGAGGTCAGGACAAAAGAGAAAGACTGTCCTGGAGATGAAATGACATAGTGGCCACACCAACAGGCTCAGAGAACAATAACAGGCCCACGCTGAGGCACTGTTGTTCCACAGGGTCCCCTGGGGTACCTGCCAACATAAATGATGGTGAACCTGCAGCAATAAAGGCTTGGGGGCTGCTGGCACTCATCTTGCCAACCCACAGAGCCTGAGCCTGCAGCCTGAGACCTAAAGCTCTCACAGCCTCATGACCATAGTAAGAGTGACAGCCTGGCAGCCCTGGAAGGGCAAATTAGGTGTGGGTCACTCCAAAAGTTATATCCTAGAGAACTATCTCTTATCTGGCAACGGAACGGACAAGTGCCATTTAGTGCTGGCCCTTATTTGACCTGACTCTGGGCTCACTCGATGTCCAGCTTCATCCAGAGGACATTTGTTGAAAACAATCAGTGGCCCTCATTTTTCCTCATGTGTATGGATTGGGATAACAGTTCTATGAGCCCCTAATAAAATGCTAAAAATAAATAAATAAATAAATAAATAAAAAGAAAAAAAAAAAACAATCAGTGGCAGTTGTTTAGCACCACAGCTTTCTGCAGCAATGTTACCAACTATGGCTAATGAGCTCAATGCAGAAGCTTAAAAGGAGCAACTGCGTAGAGAGATGTCTGTGGGGAACTCGAAAAGCTCTGTCAGATTCCTGGGAATTCTGAAGGAATGTGTGTGTACACGGTTCTGCCCAGACCTAGGAAAGAGCTGAGAAAGCTTTACACTCTGTCCTTGTGCTTTCTTGGGGGCTTTGCGTAAACATGGCACGGAGAGTAAGATGGAGTAGAAGATGCCTGGCAGAAAGGTGAAAGACTTAAGACCTGGATATACTATAAAGCCTCTGTGAGAGATATGAAACAGGATCTAAATAAATGAAGGGGCATCCTTTGTTCACAGACTGGTCTACTTCATGCTAAGATGGTAGTACTCTCCAAATCGATCTAAATACTGACCACAATTCATGTCAAAATCCCAGTGGCATTTTTTAAAATACATATTAACTACGAAAGAAAAAAAATCCAAATACTTCCAATTGAGCCTATGCTGACTCATAGCACCGTACAGAACAAGGTAGAACTACCCCTGTGGGTTTCTGAGATTGTAACTCTTTTTTTTTTTTTTTCAGTAGAAAGCCTCATCTTTCTCCCGCAGAGCTGCTGGCACGAACTACTGATCTTGTGGTTAGCAGCCCAAAGCATAACCATTATGCCACCTAGCTAACCCTAAAATTAGTCACATGGAAATGCAAAGGACCCGAATAAAACAAATAACCTTGAAATAGCAGAACAAGCTTAAAGATGTACATTTCCCAATTTCAAAACATACAACACTACAGTCACCAAGACTATGGTACTGGCATAAGAATAAACACATAAATCAATGGAGTTGAATTGAGAGGCTAGGAATAAACAGATACATTATGGTTGTGACAGGTAGGTTTACTGTGCCAACTTGGACAATAGGAACATGTGGGATTAATCAGGTCGCTATTTGATTGGAGGGCAAAGAGATAAATGGCTCGGCAAGACTCACCCCTCTTTCTCTCTGGTGATGGGACCAGCATGCAGCCGCTTTACCTAGTTCTCTGCCTCAACTTGTGAGCTACATCACCTGTGGGACAAGCCAACCTGTGGATCAGGTGGCTAGAGCTTGAGGTTCCTTTGAGGACCTGCTTCGCCACACTGCTGCTGTGTACATGACTTGAGTTTGAGGCTGGTGGATCTTACATTGCTTGGGTTTGCTATCCCATCGGGGCCTGCTTGCTAAGCTCCTGAACTGGTGACCCACCCTGCTGTTTGCTGCCTGTGGGCGGACTCTGCTTGCATTACCCGAGGGAAGACTCAGCTTTCTGCTTCCTTGACCTGGGAACCCCACAGCCCTCATGAGTGGAAGGACTTCCAGCATATTAACTGTTCCAGGGAAGTGAGTTGAACTGAGCCCTCTGTACTGATGTGTGGACTGATTAGCTGTTATATTTCTTTGTGCTGTATAAACCTATCTATATATATTAATAAGTGCCCTGGTTTTGCTTCACCACAGAACCCTGCCTAACACAATGGTTAACTAATTTTTGACAAAGGTGCTAGGACAATTCAGTGGGTGATAGGACACGCTTCAAGAAATGGTGCTGGAACAATGTATTTGCATGTGCAAAACAAATTAGACCCCTTCCTCACACCAAATATGAAAATTAACCAAAATTGGACCAGGGACCTAAGTCTATTAAAACTATAAAACTCTTAGAAGGAAACAGAATTAAAATTTGTGATTTCAGATTAGACAGCTTTCTTAGTACAAAAGGAAAAAATAGGTATATTGGATGTCATCAATATTAAAAGTTTTTGTGCTTCCGAGACCACCATCAAGAAACTTAAAAGATAGCCCACAGGATGGAAGGAAATAATTAAAACTCACATCTCATTAAGGATATGTATCCACAATATATAAAGATGGCTTACAACTCAACAATCAAAAGGCAAAAAAACCTAATTTAAAATCAGCAGAGGATCTATATAGACACAACAGAAGATGTATCAGTGGCCAATAATCATATCAAAAGT